ACTAAAAACTAACTTGGACAAAAAGCAGTACAAATCATTACTAGTTATTGAGTCATATAAAAACTTACAAATGTTATGTTCTGCAAATATCCTTCAGCGTTGAGTCTTTTGGTTAGATCCGAAGTAATCTCCGAGCTTCTGATAATTCTCAGGATCTCAGGGGTTGACAACAGCAGCTGTTTAACTTTTCCTGACGCTCCACTGTTCAAAGAGTGATGAGGAGATACAAACAGGTACGATCTTCAAATATTACATTCCTAAAATGAGTAACCGCTGCATCTCTGATCTTCCTCAGGATCTGCCAGAAGCCTGGCTAATGACTTGGATCACCTTAAAAAAGAAACAATGTTGATGTGGAGTTTGTCTTATAGTATTTACAAACATAGGTATTACAGCTTTGTGTACTTACTTTGTTATACTTCACAACTCCTAACAAAATGCATATGGCTCAAATAACATAATAGGGACTTTACTTAATTAAAATGAAATGTTAAGAAAATGACATGCTGAATGCTGAAAAAAGTAAGGTTATTTTTGCAAAGAGCACAGGAAGAAACCCGCCGGAAATTTAAATCTTGCCAATCAGACAACGTTAGTTGCGAATAAGTCGCCATTTTTTGAGGGTGCGACATGGTTGTCATATTATGCACCAGCAACACTGCTTTGTTTCCCATTCGCCAATATGAGTTTCACCCCCTGTTATAAAATATAAACCTTTTGCATTACGGGCTCAGGTACCTTACGAAATGTTTGGAGACTGCAATGGGCGAGCAGGAACGAAACCTCTCGTTTACCAACTGTGATGCGTTCGTAAATAGTCACAGAGTGTACTTTGTATTACTCGGTAAAATTTTTAGCGTCCGTAATTGTTTGACGTACCTGTTTCATGTGTTCGGAAATACAATAAAGTAACCCTTCTATTCTAACGTCAAAAGTGCGCTTTTCTTCCAGTGCTAAAAATCTTGGGAATAAGAGCGTTGTCACTTTATTTGGTTATGAAAAAGTGCTCAAATTAGGCAGAATATACACTTTTCGCGATAAATGGACTACTTCGTATCCACGGCTTTTCTTATGATAAATACAATAATCGCAGAAAATGTGGTTAGAAATTAGTCGGCTGACATCAGCTATCATTACATGACTCTGTAATAATTCAGGAGTTCTAAAAATTAAGTTTCACAGTATTCCAAAGTAAAATTTCATCGGTCAATCTACATTCCATTACTGTGTAAGTATTACTTTACCAAGTGATTACAAAGGCACCCCTGTGGGATACATTAAAACAACAGCGGGTTGTCGATGAAAAATACATGGAAAATATAAACAAGGAGTCGAACTGTCTATCATCTTTTGTTGCGAATTACTCGCAAATACAAAATGTTTGAATTTGTTTAGAAGAAAAAACGTAATACATCTTTTCTTGCATAAAAATAACATGTACCTTCCGGAATGGTTTGCGATTCATATCGGTAAGGTAAACTAGTGTAGGTACTTTGCTATAAAATGCTCTTTGAACTGACCCTGTATATTGCTCAATAACGTAGTAGTGATGGCCGTAAAACAGATGTTACCAACAAGTGCCAAAACCTGCAGTTTGCCTCGGTTTTCGCCCATAACTTTTTTGCTATTGGTCGGATCTTTTAAAATCTTATATGAAGAGTTTTTTCGTTCCTGCCAACACTTTCGATTGAATCCCAAAAAACAGGTTTTCTCATCCTTTGTTGTCGAATAAAAAGATTTCCTACAAGAATTGGTGTACCCATTTTATGCGTCTATGTTTTGAATACCCCCTTGAACAACTTGCAGCAATAAAACCAGATTTCGCAAACCAGGGGTATTTTCGTCTAATATGACTAGACTAAAGGTACGTAACTGATATAACTCATTTTCTGTTAGCATAGAACTACAAATTGGATATAGTTGTGTTGTTGTGACCCGCAACTTACTATATTTTGGTATAAATATACATCACTAACTAATAATTAAAATGAATAGGTAACTGTTCAAAGATGATTATGAAAAAGTGGGTTAATTGGCATTCGAGATTTCAGCGATGTGATTCCTAAAATCCTCGACAGCTGGTTCTTTACGTGATGCATTTTTATTATTTTCCATTAGTATATTCCTTGACAATGCCAGCCATGGCAAATAGTCAACGTCATGATTGATAATTTTAGTAAACGGGTTTTGCATCATTCATGCAATGAATTAATTTCATTTAATTATAAATCATTCAAGTGAAAAGATGTGTTGTAATTTGTATGGAAAATAAGAATGGCCATAAAAACACGCACGTATGAAACAGAGAGAGACTCTGAAGTCTGGAGGCATTTCGCTTCATGCAGTTGTTCTGCTGGTAGTAAGTGTACATTGTTATCGAAGATTGGCATCAAAATTTGAAGACGTCATTTCTTGATACATTCCAGTATCCATTATATAATTTTTAAATATCTGCCAAATAATCCCCACATCGTTTCATACTCCAGAAAGGATTATGTCGAGAAACGATTGGAGGACAAATATATGGCTATAGTAAGCTGCTAACTAAATAAGCTGCCTTTTGGCAAATATCGTAAATAAGTTAGGTGCTAATAATAATAATAATAATACTCGTAATAATGGATTTGTGCGTATTCCTTTTGAAGATGTTCACGAATAGTTTTAAAGTTTCTCATTGCAAAATTTGTATTTCTTACCGTCACTGGCTACGCTAAAACCAAACTGGCATGTTGATTTCGAATAGGGCTATGAAAAAAGTCCTTGAAAGTCAAGTAGAAATATGGGGCTTTTCTTGCCTTTCTTCTATTGAGAGAAGCAGTAACAACAAATTAGTGACCTACGCATCCGATTTACTCAAAATGCGAATTTTGGCCGAAATTGTAGATAAGCAAGACTTTTTAAAATTATCATTGTCTACCTTTGTCTTTTAAACTTTCAAAGTTTCTCAGCACAATTCCATTCTTGCCTCCTGCGGCTACAAGTGAAGCAAACTCAGTACATTGGCCTTCTAAAAGTCTTACAATGTCGTTAAGCCACTCCTGGGATAGGAAAATCGACCTACCCAAAACAAGAATTCTAGAAACATCTATTTTGTTTTCAAATATTCTGAATGCAAAGTTTCTATTATGATCCCCCGTTGCTACAAGCGTATGAAACTGGGTAATTTGGGACGCTGATTTCAAATGCGGCTTTCAAAGATGGTCCCAAAGCGAAAATGACCCGATTAATACTTACCGTGGTTACCATCAGTACTTACTGATCATCCCGTCAGTGTCAGTGGATTTCCACTTGACCGTATGTACATGAGTAAAAACTGACATCCTGGCTACACAGCTAATAAATATCAAATTCTATGATATATTCTGATGGGTCACAGTAAATACTGATCATGTGACGTTTACCTAAGGTATCGCCTTTATTTTGAGTATGAAAAACAGAGACTTTTTCGTCAAGATATGTGGACATGCAGCAATTTTTGAAAAAATGTATTGATAGTTTGCCTTTAAAGTTTTAAACTCTCTAAAGTCGAAAACCTGAAGATCTGCGTTCAACATCTACCTGTATCAGTTTTTTTTATTGTACAATGCAACAGCTATGGTGAAATTACCGGAAAATGTTGAGAATATTATACAGGGTGGTCCATAAGTCCTTTGAAATTTCAAATTTGAATAAAATTTAACGGGTGAGCGTGAGCGGCGCGGGCGAGGTGGGGGCAGTATCTTCAGTGTCTGGGAATTCAGTCGCCATGGAGTGTTTCACTGGAGCGGATCGTGCTTTTTGTGTGCGCGCGTTTTATCAAAATAATGTTTCGGCAACCATTGCGCGGCGTAAATATCGAGAATACCACAATTTACACAATTTTACAATGTGTCCAACAGCTCAAACGATTAAGAACTGGGTTGCTAAGTTCGAAGAGACTGGTTCGACGTTAGATAAACAGCGGTGGGGTCGACCAAGGACAACTCGTATTGAAGAAAACATCAACATTGTGGCACAGTCTGTTCGTCAAAATCCTACCCAGTCTACTCGTAAGCGTTCCAGTGCACTAAACGTACCCAGAACATCTTTACAGCTGATTTTAAGGAAAGATTTACGTCTGCACGCTTACAAAATTCAGTTAGTGCAGGAATTAAAAGATAATGACGCTATTCCGAGACTAAACTTTGCGAATGAAATGTTGAATCGATTTTCTTCGCTCAATAATGTGTTGTTCTCGGACGAGGCTCACTTCCATTTAAACGGGCATGTAAATAAACAAAATTGCCGTTATTGGAGCCCCGAAAATCCAAGGCGTAAGCATCAGAAGCCCTGACACAGCCCTAAAGTTACAGTTTTTGCTGCTATGTCAGCGCATGGCATCGTAGGCCCTTATTTTTTTGAGTACGACAGAGGTCGCGCATTAACTGTTACTTCGGAGCGGTATGTAGCAATGATAGAGGAGTTTTTGACAACAGCGTTGCAGAATTTTCCAGGCTATAATACGCAGACCTGGTTTCAACAGGACGGAGCAACTGCCCACACCTCCAACACTTCTATGCCCGTCGTCTGTCAACTTTTTCCCAGCAAAGTAATTTCTCGAAGAGGAGACATTTCCTGGCCACCACGTAGTCCAGACTTGACCCCAATGGACTTCTTTTTATGGGGCTACCTCAAGAGTAAAGTGTACGACACCACTCCGCGATCAGTTGATGTCCTGAAAGAAAATATCCGAAGAGAAATGGCAAGCATTACAGTGTTGACTTGCCGCGCAGTCATCGACAATTTTAGATGTCGTTTATATGAGTGCCGTGATCGTAATGGATTGCATTTAGACGATGTGATTTTTAAAACATAATTCCCATTCAATAAAGATGATAACAAAATATAATAATTCTTCATAATGTAACTAGTTTGGTTTTATTCCTTTTTTTCCAGCTCAAAGGACTTATGGGCCACCCTGTATTTTCTAGAGATCTGACTGTAAATTTACACAAACATTTATGTTATTTTTTTTATTTTAGCCTGGTTCAAAACACCTGGACGGCGATAATGGGAACGGCGAAGGTACGGGAGGTGCCGGGCGACCTAAATTCGTGGCTGTCACAAGCCTCGAAGACGTCCAAGCTGTACGATGTGCAGAGTTCCATCCCAATGGCAAACTTTACGCGGTCGGCTCCAACTCGAAGACTCTCAGGATATGTGCTTATCCGAAGATGACAGATTTGAGGTAAGGATGTGGGGATAAGGAGTATGTAGAAATTTTTGGAAAACTATAATCCTCAATTGTTTCCTTCCTTGGTATAGAACTTGGTTCTTGATGTTTCGAAAATCGTGGCCAAGGTAAGCAGCTTCTCTGCTTAGGCAATATCCATGCATCTCCATTTATCATAATGATCATTCATGCTCTGCACTTTGGATTATTCTGGAATATCCTATTGATATATTTTTCAATCTTTGTACTTTTTATAATATTAAGGTCTCGCTTGACACGCACTATGAAGCAGGATTTCAAGTATGACATTGAAGAATTTTGGCAATTACATGTATCACTTAAGTTAACGTTCGGCTTTTTGACATTTAACTCAATAATGCGAGTTGTAGGTCAAAACATTTACGTATGTTGTATTTGCGATTGCCAGAATCGTCTTTTCGGATAATTTATATAGAACTGAAGGTTTTTTGAAATGGTCAATTTAGCAGGCAGAAATTTGTAGTGGTGAAATTGACGCACGGATACTACATTTTAACATAAGAATAATAGTTGAAATTTTCAAGATGACGGATGGGCGCCATCTGGTAACTTTTTTTTAAACGGAATGGTGGGTAACTTTTTTTTAAACGGAATGGTGGGTCCTGTGATTCATTTTGCAGTTTATGACTGCAGAATACCAAGTCAAAATCTTCTAAAATAGCGGACTGACAGGCTATTAAAATTGAGCGTTTTTTTATATTGAATCAACAATCACCAAAGCGTTATAATACGTTATATCAGTCCTCCTGTTTTGTAAGGACATATCTGAATGTGCAATTAAATATGAAACATTCAGTTTACGAGAATGTAACAATTCGTGTCAGATAGTCAGTTTAAATGGAACGTTACATACCTTAATACGTTTTCGGATAGATCCTTTCATGGCAAGTAGATTGATATAACATACATTTTGGTGACTGGTTGTTGCGTTATAAGTACAAAAGCACTCAACTTTGACAGCATGTATAAGGAACTTCAAAATGAGATATCAGAACACCCCATATTCAATTCAACAAAGTATTCCAAAATGACACCTATCCGCTATCTTGAAATCTTCAACCACCTCTTTCGAGCTGAAATGTACATTGCTAGCTTGACCCGTCAAAAAAATAAGTAGGGGAAGACCTTATATATATTAATTCTATACTAAGTGACATATAAATCCGAACACCCAGTTTAAATGGTTTTATTTTAATAAAATTTTGTATAAGTACTTAATGAAGCATAATAAGTAAATGATAAAAATTTCAAAATGATTGCACTGCTTTAAAGCCCTTTGACCTTTAATAATGTGTGGATGCACCCTGATGTGCTACGCATTCTCCAACGCCCCTAGGCATGCTTCTGATCAGGTGGTCAATGTCCTCCTGTGGTACCTCATTCCAGGCAACCACCAACTCCTCTCGAAGTGCTTCTAGAGTCTGAGGAGGACGTTGCAAATTGAGCAGTCTCCTACCCATCATATCCCACACGTGCTCAATTGGGGATAAGTCGGGAGATCTTGGTGGCCATGGTAACAATGTGACATCATTATGTTGAAAGAAGTCTATTGTGACTCTTGCAACATGTGGTCGGGCATTATCTTGTTGGAAAGTTGGATCTGCCAGGGTGGATATAACGCTGCGCGTTCATGTTACCTCTGATGAAGATTAAAGGTGACCTGGAACCATAAGCTATAGCACCCCAAACCATAACGCCAACAGTGTGATGAACATGTCTTTCAACAAAAAACTGTGGATTCCTCCTTTCACCACGTCGCCTTCTAACCCTGGCACGACCATCGTGCATGCCTAAACAAAATCGAGACTCGTCACTAAAGACAATACTGTTCCATTCCTGATCCCAGAGTGACCGTTGTCTGCACCACTCAAGGCGATTACGTCGGTGTTCTCGAGTTAAAGGGAGGACCCAGTGTGGCCGGTATGAAAACAAGCCAAAACTTCTCATTCGTCGGTAAACACTTCGCATGCCAATAGGTCTTCCGTGTTCTGCAAACCATTCATTTGCAATGGACCTGGTAGTGGAGAAACGGTCCCTTAAGGCCAATAATCTTAGGCGGCGATCTTCACGGTCTGTTGTTCTACGGCGGCGTCCAGTGCCCCTTGCTCTTTGCGTACGGCCTTCTCGAAGCCATGCCTGACAACACCTAACCACAATGTCTACACTCCTTTGCACTCTAACTGCAATTGCCCGAAAAGAAAGTCCAGCTTCCCGAAGTCCCACTATACGGCCCCTATCAAACTCACTAAGTTGACGAAATCGTACAGGTCTCCGTACTCTAGGCATCGTAACCGATCGTAAAGGATGTCAAGAACCAAAATCCGATTCTTTACTGCGGCTGAAATATTCATTTTTAGAGCGTTAGTGAATTAAAAAAAAGCAGTATAAAAACCGGAATGTCCAACTGATAAGGCTGAAAATTTTTTCACTTGTTATTTACAGTAAGATAAATACATTCACCAACTTTTATTAAAATAAAACCATTTAAACTGGGTGTTCGGCTTTATATGTCACTTAGTATACTTTTCCTCGAAATAACCATACCAATCCACCAATCATTAATAGATGAACCTATTTTATTAGCATTTTGTTTACCTATAATTATACAGGGTGACTTCGAAGTTGAGTCATTTATTTTAACAGTGAGTAGATCTGATCAAAAGAAATGTTTTTTCCTTTACCATTTTTCTGGTACAATTAAAGTAACAAAGTTATAGCCCTTTGGAAGTTTGAGTACCGCCCTGTCTCAATAATAATATTATGTGCTCGTGTTTGGCAACAACGGATATAATCCGCCTTATCGGTTCGTCGCATCGGAAACAAAAAAGCGAAAGAATTTGGAACGATGTTTTTACAATTATTTTATTCAGTTGTATACAGTCAGTGTCAGTCGGTAACGCGTGAGTGAATAGTGGTGTCTGTTGCGTGGCTCAAAGGAAATCAAAAATGACACATGTTTACGAAAATGCTGAACTTGTGGACATGATTCTTATTTACGCGGTATCACGGATTTATGCGGATCGGTTTCCCAATCGAGTGCAACCAAACCCTCGTGCCTTTGTTAATGTAGTACAAAGGGCTCGTGAATCAGGTGACTTAAGACCTCACAGGGGAGGGCATTCCGGTGCTCCAAGTCCGCACGATCAAATACAGGTCCGCACTGAAATACTTGTCGGGAGGATACTTTATAAGACAAGGTAACATTTTTTTTTTATTTTTACACATATTTTGGTTTATCTTCCTTCTACAATCATTATCTGAAAATTAATGACTCAACTTCAAAGTCACCCTGTATAGCTTTGAATAGGGTGTTGATGAAACATTGTATAGCAGCTAAATAACAAACGGTCACTGGAAAGCATAAATATCAAATACAGGGTGGCCAATATATAACTGACTGATTTAAATTGCGCGCCACTTTTGATACACGCATTTCAGTAGGTGGCGCCATAGTAGTTGTTTAAGCACATTTGTCCAATTCATCATAGAGTGCTACACGATCCCACAACGCGTCCGTATTGCTGTTGTTTACTTAATTAATGAGCCGATTGCTGCAACGATTCGGAAGCTACGACAAGATTCTGATCGAAATAATTTGTCCTATATCAACACTATTCGTCAGTTAGTGCGGAAATTTGAACAAACGGGTGAAGTTAAAAACTTCGGGCCGTGTTCGAACTGTTCGTACTCCGGCAAATATCGAGAGTGTTCGTGAAAGTGAAGTGAAGCGCCCTAAGACGTCTACCAGACATCGTTCCCAAGAACTGAGTCTTCATCGCAAGTCATTATGCACTATTTAAAAAAAGACTTGCATTTGCGGCCATACAAAATTCAGTTAACCCAAGAACTGCTGCCTAGTCGTCGGCAATATTGCATCTTAATACCCAAAATAACGATTTTTAACGACAACTGATAATGAGCGGTGAAACCTAGTTCGATATGAACGGATTTGTTAATGAGCAGAATTGTCGTATCTAGACTATATCCTCGTCGAGTCACAGGATGGTGCGGTGTTTGGTATGGAGGTGTCATTTTACCTTACTTCTTTGAAGCCGCTTCAGGTCTCTTACTGTCACCAGAGAGCGCTTCCGTCATATCGTGCAAAACTCCTCAAATCCAACAATTTAACCTGCAAAACATGTGGTTCCAGCAGGACGGAGCAACTTGTCACACAGCTAGGGAAACAATGAATCTTTTGCGAACAATATTTCCGGGACGTTTAATTTCTCGATTTGGTGATGTCACCTGGCCACCAAGGTCTGACTCTTTTATGGAGAATTTTGAGAAATAGGATTATTGCCGACAAACCAAATACAGTAGAGCAGCTGAAGAACATTATTACAGAAGCGATTGATAATATTCCTCCCGAAACCTACCAAAAAGTGATGGAAAATGTAATCAAGAGGGCTCAGAGGCGGACATTTGTCTGATATTATTTTTCATACATAATTTATAAGTTCCAGTAAAAGGCTAAGATGAAAAAAATGGACGTATTTTATTTCATTTCACAAATAATCAAGATACAAACCAGTCAACTACATATCGGCCACCCTGTATATTGTCATTATCATTAATCTATACTTTAACAAATACCACCATGGTTAGTTAACAGTAATTTCAACATACAGGTATGTGGTTTAATTTGGCCCTAGGAACATGAAGTTCTATCAATATGAAAACCACAGGATACATTTCAGATTGACATTGACTTTCAAATTGTTTAGTTTTTCATAAAAAGCGAGAATCTAGAAATAATTGAGCCAAAAGTGCGACATTATTTGAATCCTTAATTCTCGTGGCATACATTCATCATATTCTGAGATCATTATTGCAATTCACTGACAATCTTTGACATTGTTGGACTGGGAAAACTTGAACTCGTTTTTGACCATAAACTATGTTGGTATTCCGCGATATTTGATTCAGGGACGAAATGTTGTGTTTACAGATATCGAAATACATCTACAAGCAGTTTATGGTCAAGTAGTCGGATTGAAATTTTCTATATCACATCCTGGGAATAATCCAAGGTATTTTTTTCATTCAGTGTTATTTTCTGTATAGGGACGATCATCAGACCTACCAACCTACAGTTCTGTTTAAGCGAACCAAGCACCACAAAGGGTCCATCTACTGCCTGGCATGGTCTCCCGCGGGTGATCTAATGGCCACAGGTTCCAACGATAAGACAGTCAAGTTGATGCGGTTTGATGGAGATGGAAATGTTGACGCTACTGGAACGGTCAGTATACTTCATACCCATGGCATGGCATACGTTTTGCAATATGACGTTCTTAAAAATAAGTTTCATAATACTCCGACCAATTTATCACAGACTGGCGACATTGTAGCTGTATCTTCAGACATCCCTATGCTTTATATCGAGATTTGGAGTTAGAAAATCTGAACATGTTCATACAAGTTATCTGAAGCAGGTTGGTTAAACATTCAGACAAGAAGAAACCTGCACTCTGCAGTAATTTTTCATAAGACTATTTCATTGTCCGCCGTACTTATACAGAGTGTCCGCAAAGTTGGGGTTTTCCTTTACACGACGTGTAGGTCTTGAGAAAATAAGCGGATTTTCTCAGGACCATATACACCAATGTCTTAAAAATACCGAGATATTGGGCTCTGCAAACTCAGTCAAACCTGAACGAAACCGAAGCCGGTCCTGTCCTATCCCTCGATGACGACCACAGCGCTAGCGTACAGTTATACGACGTACGACTACGATGTAAATATGGATTTTACGACAGAGCCGTACTTGGAATTTCAATTCAACTGAACAGCGAGTACTTTTTCATTTATCTTTTTTTACTTGTTCGCTCACGTTTCTCGACACATTAGCTTTGTTATATCAAGCGTAATTGTATCTGAAAAGGAAATTCCCACGTTGCGGACACACTGTATAAAAAATTAGATTCGGTAGTGATGTTCACAATGTCAATATCCGGTTCAGAGGTCTCACTTCTCAACCACCACATCGTACTGGAATGTTCAGTAGATCTTTTTCACACTCTGCTTATCGCTTGTACAACCACGTTCCCACAGACTTTAAGTCCACGTGAATGTCAGCTCTCAAAAGAAATTTTAAGAAATTTCTTTTAGAGCGAAATGTCTTGAGCCTCTCCTGTGTTGTCCTTCTCATGAGATTTAAGTTGAAGTTTGATTACAGAAACATATTGTGCTTTAATTTTTTTTCTAGAGTTCTTTTTCTATCATTTTAGAATGAATTTGTTAAAATTGTATTATCCGTAGGCGGCTATAAAAATGTGCTCTTTGTTTTGTTTTGTCACCCGGCCAATACTTGATGCAAAACAGCTGTCAAGTGGCGTGCAAATTTAGGCCCTAGCTCAATAAAACGGAGAGTAGGGGGGTTGGGGGTTAAGAGCGCCAGTGACTCAAGGCAGATTAAGCCACAAATTCCCAAGAAAAGGATCTAACTGTAATGCTGAAACATAATTAATTTTACACAGAGAGCCAAATAAAACAAGATATTCCAAAAAAGAATCACAATATACTCGCATTATCAAAACAAGCAGCACATGCTCCACCATTGTAGTGCAAGTGAAAATAAAGGATATTATTCAAAAGTACCTGACATAAAAATTATTAGACCGTGATAATTAACCCTGCAAAACGTTTACCATGGTACACATACGAAGGCTTTACAAATATCGTAACGCCTAAACCTAAACTTATCTGGATAATGGCCTTCTTCCAGTTACGGCTCTAGGCGCAGCTGAGATGTCCACAGCTCACAAACGCTCAGGTCAAAAACCATTGGGCAGTAGTGAGCAGTGATGTGAGGTATAAAAAATCTACTCTCTATTCTGTGTCTGAGACAAAACTACACATTTAAAACACTCAAAATTTCAAGAAAAACCATGTACATTAACTTTTACAAGAAAAGTAAAGCAAGGGCAAGAAAAGATAAAAATGTACTGAAGTGACATCCCTCAGAAACTTATCCCTTGTTCTAAAATAAAGTTATGGCAGCTTAAAAATCAAAATCATGATCAATGTAATGTAATGCCCAATAGAAGGTGACATGTAGGCACTGCCCTATATTTGAATACGTAAAATGCCAAACAAAATCAAGTACACTCTTAAAATTTCAGTCAGCAACAATCAATGTGTTAATATCTATAAAATACCCAATTAAAAAGATATTTACTTGCTCACATCAGGGTTTTTTGTCAAGGGGAAGGGGTGACTTCCAGCAAAATCAGCTGTAAACACCTACAAGGCAGCTACAAAACAAAGCTGGAGGAGTGTGAATGGTAGCTCTCCGCAATGTATTCCCACTAAAGGGAGCAGATATTGAATAAACTTCTTCAGGAGATGCATTAATGGACGAGGTCCGATGGTATACAAAAGAGAACTTACCGCTGAAGGTTAAAATCTCATTAGAAAGTGGACGAGGTAGCACCCAAATCAAAACAACTAAACGTAACAAAATAAAAGATACTCCATAATCTGGTGTTTGGGGGTCTAAATCCCAGAATCTGGAAGCTAACGAAGCGACTCACGCACAACCAAACCTCAGAAGAAAGAAAAGAAAAATTGCGCTGGACCCGCCTGCACACGCAACCCCTAAATATATCTTGACAGTAAATCAAATTTTAAAATAAGGCATCTTGATTGGACCAAATATCCCTATACTGCTAGTACGTAAAGAAATCACAAGGTGGCGCTGGTTGACAATGGACGGAACCAACTGTTCGAGGGATCAACGAATTATATAATTTAATTAAAAATTAATTATATTAAATTGCCTCATAATAAAAATTATTATGAGGCAATTTCTGATATAGTCGTTAATAATACTATAAAATCAGTGTCCAAAAGATTTCAACACAATACTGAAAGAAATAATATTTGTGAAATTATACAAATTACTGATAAGTGATCAAAATATTAAAAAACAAGGTTACGTGATTTTGGCACTTGAAAGTGTGGAAGACTCATACGGTGCCAAGAAACTGTCCAAGGCTGTGAGACAAAACTAAAAAATGAATGTCTTTTAGCGTAAGGCTCTTGCATAGATGGCGACTATATTTATGTATGTATGAGGGGAATGGATGTATGAAAGTAATTCCTGTAGTTTTACTGTGGCCTGCTAAAAAACGTAAAAAGATCTGTTTTTGTGTTTTTTAATCTAGGTGGAGGCCCACGATGAAGCCGAGTTAACCATGCATGATGGAACAGTGAGGGACGTCTGTTTCCTGGAAGACACGTCAAATAGGAGTAGTTTGTTGATCAGTGCTGGTGCTGGTGATTGTAAGATATACGTGACGGACTGTGCTACTGGTACTCCTTTCCAGGCTCTTTCAGGACACACTGGTAATAATATTGACTTTTGAGTCTTTAAGATAAAATATAAACTGTCAACTAAACTAGAATTCACCAAAAATATTGTTGCTGTGTTGTGTAAATATTTTCTTGGAGGTACCTATTAATGTTAAGGTATACTATTTTGCCATCACTGGTCTGCCACGATATGGCTTTATTTTGATAGCGCCAGGATTATGTATCAAACAGCTCCACTGCTGCACAAAGTTATTTTTTTCAAATTGCTTTGTTCTTTTCAGGCCACATATTGGCACTGTACACATGGGGTGGTGCAATGTTTGCCAGTGGCTCTCATGATAAATCAGTTCGATTTTGGGACCTGCGCACACGTGGATGTGTGAACGTAGTGACACCTACTACTGTACCGGGAGGCGGAGCGGGAGGTGCACGACAAGGTAATGTTAATTTATTTCACAATTTGTTAAATAAAAGGCTTGCAAACAGTATCAATTTTTTAATGTTTGAACTATTGAATAAGAAAATATATCGCTTCTTCTCAAGAATAGTGACACTATCAAAAAAAAAACAAGAAAAATTAGTTAAAATTGCAGATTCACTCCACTATTTTATCAGGAATAAAGAGATTTGAAATTGTTTCAAAGTTGTTGCCAGAGATGACGCTAGTGTCGTTGTTCGTTAATATCGAATGTTTTGGGGTTCTGTCATGAATAATTTCATATTGCAGTTGCGGCGTGACTTTCAAAGCGTATACTTAAATTTTTCATTATTCAAGAATAGTGACATAAAGTACCTACAACATAAATTTTCGGAAAATGGGTCATTCAAACTATCCGATTTTTTACTATTTTTTTTTTCATATACGTAATAAGGGTAGAACCTCAACTTTCTGGAACATTTTTCTACGAAAACTTATACAGTGAGACTGATGTTCGTAAAGTTGAGATAAATAAAAAATCTTATAGAAGATCTAAAAAAAACGAAGCAACAAAAAGAGGTCCTAGAGTTACTCGGAATACTCGTAAAGTATACAAAGGTATGATTCCAATTTCCGAGAAAAAGAAAAGCGCCTTACTTAATTTAATAAAAAGAAAGTTAAATACCCTCATAATATGAGGGATTTTAGAATAATTTGTAACCATTTTTTGTATTGTACTTATTGTTTTTGTAATACTAAAATAAATGTTCCCTCTTTGTTCTGTAACCACGATTTATTTGTCATATATTTTTTAGAAAAGCATTATTTTTTTAGGAATAATGACACATTCCTGTAAAGTTGCAAAAAAAATTAATAAAATGAGATATTTTTCAAAACATACTGATCTTTTATTCAATGAATCTGAAGGTGCAATAAACCTTATTTAATTGATAATTTTTCTAAATCCAAATTATTAGCTTTATTCTCATCAGTTATCCGAAATTGTTCTTGAACAAATATTAAAAATGCCTCTCATGAAAAAAAGTTTTTTTTAATAGTGTCACTATTCTTGAGAAACATCGATATATGTGTAACTGAGATTTCGATAAAAAATCGTTTTCTTGTTAAAGGGGTGCGAAGATCAAGAATCCGGTGAGATTGATAAAACATTCAAAATATTCCTATTTTCTGCTCCATATACCATATCTGAAAAAAAACAGAATTCCCTACGTACCCATTGAAATTATCAGACATTCATTTGTTTCGCATACCAGATTTCTCCCAAAATCATCTTATTCTTTTCCTGGCTTTATTTGAGATGGGATTTTAAAGAAATTGCATGTTGTCAATTTTCAATTTCTTCTTTCGACTTTGTTTTTCATATGGACGCCATTCTGGAATTTTTTACATCTAATTAGACTTTTCAGTCCTAAATTCAGTGATGTATTTCCTCAGTTGGAAATGAATTTGTTGTGGGATGAAAATTATAAGGAAATAAAAAGGTTATGGTGAAGCCTTAACAGAAAATGAAAATTTTATTGATGGAAATAACAATAATAATCATAAACTAACTTTTCTCTGTACATTATTCACTGCTCGATTTATTGCTTTTCGTCTCAGCCTTTCAAACTCTGGTTTGGCATACAAAACAAATGACTATCTGATAATTTCAAGGCCTACCGAGGGACTTGGATTTTTCTGGAATAACCAAGGCTTGGCAATGTCAATTTATTACATATTTTACATTTTTGAAATCAGAATTGAATCTCTGGTCATCTGCGCAAACATCCAATATGGCGTCTTTTAGAAAAAATAAAGTTGATGTTGGAGGACAAGAGACGAAACGTCATATTAAAATTCTGATTATGCCATCTTGTATAGGAGGAAAAGTGGCAATGTAAATGTTTATTTCAAAATCCCACTACAAATGAAGTCAGGAAAAAATTAAAAAATTTTTGAAAAAATTCTATTTTTCCATTTCTCTCTGGATGTACGTTGAATTTCTAAACTTTCTGAGCATCATTTTGTTAGTTACCTAAATATGCAAGTTCCCTCATTTAAGCGACTTCGTATCTCAATGCTGAGGGTCGAATTTGAAACACCCGGTATAATAGTGACATTCTGAAAGACATTAGTGTTCAATATACAAGTATCCATAATATAAAATGAACGATTGCATAATAAAGAAATAAATCTGGGCGAAAGTGTTAATGTTTTTTTTTATCATCAGGGTCTCCAGTAGCCAGTATCTGCGTAGATCCATCCGGCCGTCTTCTGGTATCCGGTCACGAAGATGGCGCATGTGTGTTGTATGACATCCGCGGAAACCGCAACGTGCAATGCTTCAGGCCACACGCGTCTGACGTACGGTCTGTCAGGTTCTCGCCATCGGCTTACTACCTCCTATCTGCAGGCTACGACAACAAATTGGTGCTTACAGATCTACAAGGTAGGTTTTACCAAAATACCATGCGGCATCTATGAAACGTCAAAAATCGTAACTCAGCTGAGTGCAAACGTTGCCAGCAAACATAAATTTCATCCTAAGAACCAACGATGCTTGAAAAGCTCACATGAATAGCTAGATACGTAGGACCGTTGATTAAAGTGTGACTTGCCTTTAATTATAAGCTATAGAAATGTTGAACATTTTATATGACCAAGGTATTGTGTTAAAAGATGTTTCTATGAAAATGCCCAACAGAAACCTTATGGGGAATGGCTTCCCAAGTAGCAGGCTGACTGTTTAACACGGCGATAATAGGTCATTAATTAGGTTATGAGTGGCGTAAATTAAACGTAATACAAGTCGAGCGTAAGTGACAGACCGAGCCACAATAGTCTAAAGAGTCGCAGTGGAGGATCGTTGTTGATGCACTCACAAGAAACCTAACCTAACCTAAGTCACAGATCACAGGCCAATGACGTGAAAAAGACGTCACTTTAAGACGTCTTTGTAAGTCTAGCAGACGTCAATTTACATCATACATCGTTTCGAAAGAGCTCAAAAATTCATAATTTTTAATCGATTGGGAAGCGAAAATAGTAATTTACGTAACAATGCAAGAAATAAGTTCATTGGACTATATTCCAGGATTCGTTTGCGAGCCCAGAAGAACTGTTTTCGGTCGTGTTGCATCATCTGAAAATGAATAGAATATTCTTTTCTTTTTTCCATTTTTAAGATTACGAAAAAAATATTTTCGGTTATTTTTTATAAATGAATTATGTACATCTAACTAGTAGAATAAAATTATATTATACGGGCCCAGAGTTTTTCATCTATAGTCAAAATCACGAAAGATGACTATTAGATCATAACATAAATTGTACTGAAGTAATAAATGGACGTACGTCGATGATAAAAACACGATGTCAGGAACATAATGACAACAAATTTATATTATGATTTTCGAAGTTAGGTTATTTCACTGATTATTTTTATATTCATTTTATTTCATGGTTTCAAGTGATACCTTAATAATAATTTTAGTGGGGAGTTTTTGTTTTGAAAAAAAAAACAGTTATGTATAGAATACCTTAAGACAGGAACACCAAAAACCAAAGTATTATTCGAAAACAACCTAACCTGCTTTAACATAACTATTGATCTTTCAAATATGACCGATCATGCAACATGAAAACATCGTCTATCTTTGTCGGATACATGCAAATTAGCAATACAGTTTGTTTAGGCAATAAAATTCTGTTTGTCTCTGTCTAACATATCAGAAACTTCATTAAATATATTCTCAAATCGCTGTCGTTTGTCTTTACTGCAGACTAAAATGATGACGTAATCGTCATCTTTCGTGATTTCGACTATAGTAGTGTCCTAGATACAGTGCCTCCAAATTCAGCACTCACGGTATTCACAATAGTGGCCTACCATAGTAGTACGCATAATATCTTTGAAACCAATTTATTTTCTTCCAGGTGACCTAACTCTGCCTCTTCCAAGCGTCGTGGTGGCGCAGCACCAGGACAAAGTGATCAGCGGCCGTTGGCACCCGTCGGAATTTTCCTTCCTGTCAACGTCAGCTGACAAGACAGCCACACTGTGGGCGTTACCGCCCATATGAAACGCCTCGCCGCGATCGATAACCAATCAGATTAATCAATAAGTCTGACTAACCAATACTCATCATGAACACGCGTTGCGTGTGCTTACATAGTTGATAAATGCCCTTCCAGGTGAACGTCGAGGTATTTGTCGATATTTTTAATACTGAAGAGCTTTTAAAATGTTTATTTACGGATTTTAATATCGTGCTGCAAATTTATAAAATAACTATGAGAAATTTGGAACATACTTATTTCATTTTGAATATGTCATTCTTGATTTCGGGAATATCCAGAAAATAAGAATTAAACGTTGGTACATTTTTGTTGATATTAAGAATTTACATTTTTTTAACGTTGAGGCATTTTTATTTCTAAATCAACGCTCTAGAGTAGTTCTACATTTTGGCCAAGAAACTGTGCTGACTAGGATATACTGTCAAGCAGTTCGAAAAGATGTGTTTTCCTCAAATTTAGCATAAGCGGTATTTATATATTTTCAAAAGTGAAAAATACGCGAAATATTTTATACCTTCATTGTTTATTTATGAAAGCAAAATTAATCTTTTTTCTAAATCTATGGTTACAGTGCTAAATTAAAACTAATAACCCAAATAGTTTTCACCACTTTTGTGGTAAAGAATGTCGGCTGATAAATGTATTTATTTAGTTTAAATTGTGATGCTGAAATGGAGCATATTAAGAACAGAAATATAGCTATGCTAAACAAATTACGTATAATCAGTTCAATCTTTCGGTTTATTTTTACTTTTACATTATTTTTCCGCAACTCTCAAATATGTTTGCTTAATTTTTATAAGAAATATTTGTCTTTGTCTGTGAGTGGTGCTTATAAGCTTTATTTATAATTTTCAATTCACAACTTTGTTTCATGTGCTTCATTTTATGGACTAAGATATTTAAATCAAAATTACTGTGAAACCTTTTTTCCATATGCATATTATGTATTTTCTAACATGGATAAATTATATTTATATTTCATAGTAGTGATATATTTGAATGACGTTGCACAAGTGAATGTTGAAAAAATATTTTGGTTAAAAAAACAAGAAACGTTTTGTTTATAAAAAATCTTGTCGCATAAAACTAATACGAATCAGAAGTATATATTGGGATTTTTATACAAGAATTACGTGGAACAAAGGTCAAAGGCATACATCCTAGGAGTGTTAGTTTCATGAAACAGTATTTTTACTATTCGAAATCTTTGCACAAAACAGATCTTTAGTAACGTTTTAGAACTTTTTTATTCAGCTATACGTGTAGTACATCATTATACTTTCTTTATTGTATAACTGTATATACGCAACTTTATTGAGCTGCTTTTGTATAGGTAAACAATCCATCATAGTGTGTATACTGCCTTATTTAAATGAATGTTATGGAATACATGAATACTGTTCTATTTTAACTCACTAGATATGTTAATTTCCAGTTATTTTCGAATAAAATATAACTTATAGTTAAAACAATTAGTTGTTTTAATTCGTTTCAGCAGAGGAATGCCATCTAAGGACATATCCGGGGGAGAGGCTTTGAGTTTGTAGCAATACGCATTTCCTCATATAAAACAATAGTATTCCTTAGTGCCATGCAAATATCCAATGAGGATTTTCGAACCCATTTTAATAAAAAAAATCATATGAACGTATTTCCTAAATCTTTATTATTTAAATATTTAAATTTCCTTTAAGATACAAGGCGATACAATTATCAGAAAAAAATCTGTATTTTATAATAAATTGATATTATTGTAGATATCTTTATGGAGTTTGGTGCACATATTTCATGCATCAAGATGCATTTTCTGATACTATTCGTCATTTGTTTGTCTGGGCGGTCCGTAGGACCTTTGATCATTAGTCACTAACGTCGCTGCGCCTGAAGCTTGACATAATCCGTCAGGTAAGGAATGCCAAGGTCTCTGTGTAGTGTCTCATTTGAGACATACCATGGAGCGTTGCAAATTGTCCGCAAAGTTCTGCTTTGCAGTACTTGAAGACTTTGCATGTGTGTCTTGGCAAGAAAACACCAAGCCGCACATGCATAAGTAATGGCTGGACTAATAATCACTTTATATAGTCGAACTTTGTTTATCAAACTCAATTTGGAGTATCTACATAACAAAGGATATAGTTGCCGAAACGCAATTTGGAATTTTCTTTTTAAGGATGCTGTATGTTTCTGCCAGGTTATGCCTTTATCAAGGGTAACACCGAGATACTTGGCAGACTTTGTCCATGGTACACGATTTCCGTCAACAGAAACCTCAGTTGGGGGGCCGCGACGTTTTTTGGTACAATAAATAGCCTGCGTTTTCGAATGATTAATTTTTATCAGCCACCGTTCCGCCCACTCTAGACTTTGTCCACCACATTCTGCAACTCATCGTGAACCAAATCACCAGTACACGACTGGGCGACAAGTGCAGTGTAGTCAACATAGAGGTAGACTTCACAGTTGCTGGGGCAAGCGACATCATGGATGAAGAGCGAATAACAAATTGGTCCTAGGACCGAACACTGAGGAACACCTGCCCGTACTGGCCGTGTTGTTGACAAAATATTGTTAATTTTGATCCGAAACTTCCTTCCTTCAAGAAAGTATTTCAGTAATTTTAGAAGCCTTAAAGGAAAACCCTTTTGGATTAGTTTATAGAGAAGGCCCGCGTGTCACACCTTGTCAAAGGCTTTTGAGACATCCTAAAGCAAGAGCCAGTACTCATGCTGAGGGTGAACCCTCTGGTTACATGCTCCACCAGCCTGACTGCCTGTAGCTCGGTGCTGTGCTCGGATCGAAAACCGAATTGGACGTCAGGAATCACATGGTGATTTGACGAAAAATTCGCAAGGTGACGACAAATCGCCTTCTCGGCGAGCTAACAGCAGACTTATGGGACGGTAATCCTGAGGAAATATCGAACCTACCTTCTTTGGAATCATGATGACCTCAGCTGTCTTCCACCCAGCAGGGAAGTACGGGATTCTGAGTGTCGCATTGATTATTGTCACCAAATGTCGGGGCTTTCGACGAGAGCAGCTTCAACGCTTTGTTTGTAATTTGATCCTCCCCAGGTGCTTTACACACTTTGAGGTCTTTAATATGACTTAGGAGCTCCGCTGGTGTGCAGTGTGGAAATTCGGAGGGTTCCGCTAATGTGCTATGTGGAGCCTCAGACGAATCTACTGAAGAAGAGTCATCTAACGCCGTTAGCCCTAACTATTTCCTGGCGCATTTTCTGATGTATTATGTATTAGTTCTACCAGTGGCGTCCGTGCGGATTTCGCAAGACTATTTTTGGAGAAAAAATGGTGTGGCCTTCAAATAAAAACCAAATCCCCATTCATTTCTGAGCAAATTTGATCTCTTCATTTTCTTCGTCCGACACATGGTTTGTCGCTTTCAGCTAAAAGAATTAATTATTAATAAATTTTCGATAATTACTGGTAATTTCCACAAATATTTTTTTTCTTAGTTGATGTATCACAGTTCTTGATGTTAAGGGAACTGGATAGCTTAATAAAGAAAAATAAACTACATCAGATTTTTTACGATTTGGCCCTAAAAAAGATTTTTCTTTCGTTTAAACGAAAACCATGAAAGAAAAATTTCAAAAATGCTTTTTATTTGAAGAGAAAGTAGTGGTGTACCATTTTTGTCTCTAAAAATATTCATTGCAAAACCCGTTCGGTAAGAATGATAAAATTGTTTGTGCATGGAGAAATCCACTTCGCCGGTACATACGTTAAGGTTCAAATCTGGCTGTCGTCGTAATGTGTACGAGAGGGAAGCGCCCAATATGTATGTTAGAAAGAGTGCGCCAATGAAGTCCGTGACCTCGTCTCCCGGGTTGCTAGGCAACGAGGTGCTTTTATCTCTTTCTAACACACGTATTGCACGCTTTTCGCTCTTCTCTCTCGTACACATTACGACGTTAGTAGTATTTGGTTTTCCGTGTAGAAGATTTGTACTAAATTTCATAAAGATATCTATATTATTATAGTTATTATAAAATACAGCTTTTTTTGCTGAAAACTCAACTGCCCATCATCTCAAACGTTAAGACGTTTAGGACATACATTCATGTGATTTTTTTTTCTTAAGATGGGTCAAAGACTCACCTTAAACGTTAGCATATCATTAAGGAACACCATGTATACCTATATGTAACTTAAAACTTATAAAAAATATTTTAATCTCATATGAAGGCCATTTTTTGGCAGCCTGTTGGTGAAACTCTACATTATGTTGCTTCACAAGCGCGTTTAGAATGGAACGTCTCCTAAAAAAACAGAAAAACTGGCGGCAATATTTCTCATCAAATGGAAACTAGCATGATCGGATTTAAATACATGAGATTGACAGCGACTTTTTCACGCAATTGCCAATTGGTTGTTTTCATGTCTTTTTTAATGTATAATTGGTATGGGTATAACTGAAGGAAATACAACTGCAACATTAAATAATTTATTGATTTGTAAATAACCTTAACCCATAATAACATTACGAAAAAAGCATGAAATATCAAAATATATAAGTATCTAAAAAATGCGCATTTTATTTTTATTATTGATTGTAACTTTTTCCTACTTAAATACGACTAAAAATAGAACCAAAGTAAATAATCTTCACAAATGTCTAAGAAAAAATAACTTGTATCTGGTATATAAATATTTTTCTAGGCATTAAATGGCTTATACTCAAATTATATTCTAGCTCTACACTGTGGACATTTTTTATGCTGCTTTTTCCATTCAGTAAAGCAGAAAGCATGGAAAACATCACCGCAAACGGCTTTTTTCATGTCTCTTGGCTGAACGGTAGATTCACAAACAGCACATAATCTGAAATTATGCTACTTTAGATGAGAATGTCTTAAGCTAATAAGTTTCCCAGAACATAGCATTCTTACAAGCTTAGATAATTCTATAATTTTCTTTGTATGTGGCCAAGATACAGTGCGATTCAAGGTGGATTTTCAGTGCTTATAATTCAGGGTATGAATATTTTCTTAAAATATTGTATATGTATGAATAACTAACAGCATAGCTAATACAAAAAAAATCGTGCTTCACTTGTCACATAATTTTGCTCAATATACGATTCAGAAATATTGCCTATACATCCCGAAAAACTCTGTATAATGAGTAAAACGTTTGCTTATTTACCTTGCACGCGGTGGTCTCACCACCCGCCTCCTATTCGTCCTTTGGCCATGAGCGACTCTCTCGTGGACCAGTGGCGATAGATTGAAACATTCAGCGGACAAACTTGCCCTTGTGACTTTAGGGAAGCGTGCCTGCTTCATATTTTTCTGTAGCTGCACTATTTTGCTGGTGTCTTTGGGGCCCACTACATTGATTGGGGCTTCCCTCATGGCAAGGACCTTGCATATGGTACAACTTCCTTGGCAGAAGTGCGCAAATGTAAATGTACCTTTACCTAGAACATATTTTAGTAGATCAATGTTCTTCCATGTATGTGCTGCCTAATCGAATTTTTAACGGTAACATATGTCAGAAAACCAAACGTACTTGTTGTGCACAACAAAACAGAAAATTGCAATACTATTATTATTATTATTAGACTGTTTGAATATATATGAATAATGTACTGAATACACGCTGCTACAAAATATACTTACAATTTTCCATCCAGAAATATGAGAAACGTTTTTAGTGTACATCAGAAGATTCGAACCATATAGACGTAAGATATGATTTATGCTGAATAAAGATTTAGCCGTTAGCTGATAAGTGTATTAAAAAAACTTGTACTGGAGGATAAAAAAAGGTAAAACAGAGGTGTACCGGTTTATTTAAGAAAACAGTTTTAGTTTAGATCACAAAGGGTTTCGTTTCTCTTTATAGGAAATTCGAATCTTATACAGAGAAATTGAAATATCACTGACGACGTAATGTGTGCGAGAGAGAATTGATACTCGAGGAACGTTATAGCCAATAGCCATCATAATTTTATCCACAAACTCATCGTCAATTGTGCAATCATCTATCGCGCGAAGTGTTAAGATCTCCACCGTCAGCATTAAGCTGGCAACAGAGCGGTCTGCCATCGTCCCATTCAACCTGTGCCAGTTTTACATACGTTTTATTAAAAAAAAATGTTCAGGATAGCTCTCTGACGCTATCTTGAAATTTTAAATCTGTGGACAATTTATGGGATGTTATACATAACATTTGAGGGCACATTTCTAAGATATTCGACCTACATATCAAAGATGGGATTTTTCAAATGGAATGCCTCAAATTTTATTGCATATTTGGATAAACCAATTCAAAAGAAAAATAAAGAAATGAATCCAAATTTGCACAAATATACAGGGTGGTGCATTTAAAATTCTTGAGAAAAAGTACAATTCGCGTTTTTGACCACCCTGTATGAGCAAAAATGAACATTCGAAAAAGTAACAAATAAAATAAAAGCCGAAGTGTGTAAGTTTTTTTTGATATAACATTCAGCACTCCAAATGTCAAAATGGCGGATTGAGGGGTTGCCGAAGTGGACAGTTTTTCTGGGCAAAACACCTTACGTCTCAGTAGCTAATTACCAAATCGCCATAGTATGTTATATCAATCTTCTTCTTTTGAATTGGTTTTTCCAAATATGAAATAAAATTTGACGCATTCCACTTAAAAAATCACAACTTTGATATGTAGGTCAAAATTGGGACACCCTGTATAATTGCCAATATTTTAGAAATGTGCCCTCAAACGTCATGTATAACAATAGATTTTCCCAAAATGTATTTGTTTATGAGTAATATTCCGTCCACACATGGATATATTTAAATGGGTATACATTAATTTCGGGTGAACTCAAATTGGTACGCCCATGTCAAGTGGGCTGTCACACAAGCATAGATTAGGAATATTCATACTTGGTGAGATCTTCGAGGTGGAGAGACGAGACTAAAGAACGTATGTCTGAGCTTACACATACGTCCGCGTACAGGAACAGATTGCATGCGTGAGGGAGATGGTTATATAGAAGTGATGCTGGTAGTTTTACTGCGACCCGACAAAAACTGTGAAATGGACTATAGGTAATTTGAAGCCCAAACACAAATTGTCACCGCTTAGACCTCAAAATTTGCATATTTAGCATTAGGTATTTTGTGTACAGCTTTGGAAATTTTTAGGATATGGCCCCCGCGAGAAAATTTGCAGTACCCCCAGCTCTTCAAAAAAGTTAGGCGGCAAGTATATTTCCACAAAAGTTATCTCTTTGCGATTATCACCCTTTCCTGAGAAATGTTCATGCGGGCGCTCATGACTGATTACGAATATGATTTTCAATAAATGCTGAAATTTGGAGATCAATTCCAGGTAGAAAATGGGTCGTTTCGAATGTAAATGGCCTCTAGCGTCAAATTTACGTCGTATTCGGAGTCTAAGCACCCTTCTTGTACACCTCGCGGATCTAAAGAGAAAACCTATTGTTGAAATTTATTGAGTACGGACCTGCTCAAGGTAAAGAGGCCTAAAAAGTTAAGAACTAATTTGACGTTCCCTTCACAAGATGGCACTGTCTATCGATCAACCAGAAATCGAATTGAACAAGGATCTCTTTGACTACTGTACCTGTTTGAAATTCTCTCACACTAGATGGCGAGATAAGCAGGGATAGTCCTTTTCTCAATTCTCTATTTTTAATTTTTCATAGGAAGTGCCGTTACATTTACCTGTAACTGATGCACCTGCATTTTGGCATTCTCGAACCTAGATGTCTATGCACGTCACTGAAAGATGTAGTTGGACTATCTTTTGTTTTGGTTTGCTCAGCGAGTTTGAACTTGTCGAATAAGTTATTAAGTGAAAAGAGATGTCGGTATTCAAAAGGATGTGCACTTTTTAATACGACTTTTATTGACTATTACTCGAGTTCCGGTGTTCGGATGTGTCTATAAGGATTTATTTGAAAAGTGAGGTTATACATATCTTGTTCGGTAAGTTATTCATGCCATTGTTTATTTATTTATCTGACAGATTTTAGTCTTCAGAAGGATATCATGCCATCGGTACGGTGGAAACTGACTGCTTTTTTTAGCTGACAGACAACTCGTTATTTCCACCACTTGTGATTTTATGTTACTACATAGGTGATGAATGTAGGTACCTGCCCTACCTTAGGTTTTGGAAATATCGGAAAATACTTCAATTGGAATGTATCGTTTTAAATATTTGTCCCTGATATGGAAGCTTCCGGTATCGATGCGACTCCTATAAATAAATTATATTTATACAACTGCCACTAATACTTTCAGACTCAGTTCAAAATGTTTGCCCGGCGGAGGTTTTCATTTATTTTTGTCAGCGGCGTTGCAGTATGGGCGATATAAGGGACAGGGCCCCAGGAGAAATTTTTCTCTTGGCTATGGATGTTGTGATTGTCCGTAGGTGGCTAGGTGGTAGTCGGTCTCTGACTGTCGAACGCGGAGGTACCACCCGGCGGATCTCGTAGGCGGAGCCAGAATGTGTGCATGTCCCCCCCCCTTTCCACTGTATCCCCCTATAGCCCCACGGTACCCAATGACTGTTTAGGCCTTAGGCCTTCGTGGTAGCTGGAGTATAAAAAAAAATATAAAAAACATGGCAAAATTTCATCAAAAATGAGGAGTCGTGATAGCTTGTTAGCGAAGCAATACATGTGTGCAAGCGGAATGCGCACATCCTATTTAGCTTTAGAGATCCGCTGGGTGGTATTTCCAAGCAGTGTTGCCAAACTTTCCGATTTTTCGGCATACCTACCGAAATGGGACATTTATCGAAGTAGGGAAAACGTCCTCATTTTCCATGATTTTAACAAAAATCCATATCCATAAGCTGAAAACAAAAATTAAGCTAAAGCTGAATTATATGTAATCTATGTAATTTTATGCCCCATACCATTCATACATAAGCGTACACTTGTACAGTGGGGCACACGATGGACGTACATTTCTGTTGCCTACAATTATGCATGCTCATATATCCTTATTTCGTTCTCCCTATATTGGTTTTTGTGTACAACATGGACAGATCACCGTCATTATCTCGCATCACCAGACAGCAATAAGGAAAGCAAAGCTTGTCTGTATTTAATTGAATATTAAATTAATATGTCAGGTGATGAGGCTTCAAGTTCAGGGGTAAAGCAGAAAAATAATCTGAATCATATAAACATAAAAACAAGAACTGTATCATTGGTTCGCTTGATAACAACGCATCTTGTACATTCCAAGACAAGGTTTCCACCTCCATGACAGTCCAGTGCTATTAGCGTTTCTTTTTTCCGACAAGTAGTTGAATTTCCAAGTCCGACAGTCTGAGACCGTTTGCCTCCTGTGGATAATCACGATATAAATAGTGAAAAGAAGAATCTTCTTAGGACGGGATTCGAACCCGCGCAGCTCACGGCGATGAGTAGTAGACTCGGAAAGCAATACCTGAGGGTAGTTTTAAATTTTGAGAAACATATTCTACAAAAAATGCATTTTCCATTTTGAGTATACTTGTAGTCTACCAAAAACATTTATGTCGCAAAGTATTCCTAAAGAGTTACTTGAACCCTAAGGCCCTCTTTCTGGAATACGCCCTTAAGCAACCAACACCTACTTTTCTCCTTCACACATATTAGTCACAACACTCGGATTCATAACTATTAGCATTATAATTCATCATAATCTTTTTAAAACGCTTATCACAAAATCTAGTAAGTACCTGTGTTCCTCCTGGAATGGTACTGGTTGTGGGTTTTGGGCATTGCTTCTAGTTTGGACTCTAACAGTGCCAAATTTAATCTTCTAAAATAACTGGAACGCTTTATTGCGAGGCGACAGTACAGCATATTTCTCTGCCCAAGTAGAAATCTACCTGAAAAGTCCTTTTCATGCTGCTGCATATTGCTCGTAACCGTAAATGCCCATCCTATCACTATAAAACTTCAATCACTAGAAGCTCTGTTCAATTTTCGGAAAGCTACAAGCACATTTTAAAACAAATCTAATAGTTCATGTGTGATAGGCTTTTTGGAGGTTATTGTATTTTTTACGAGTATTCCTTAGGTTTTGACGTCTACTGAGGTGAACAGCTGATCACAAAAGAGGCATCTTTATATTAGTCTGTGCCGTTGGCAATAATGAATCGGGTGTAAACCTAGTAAAGCTTGCTTGAAGCGTTGTTTTTTATATGCCAATTAAATTTTCTAAATTTAGGAGTTGTTAGCTAGTACAATATGAATATGAAGTGCACAAAAAACCAAAACAAAATACGGCCCTGTCTGCTGTGCCTAAACGGATCTGTCAGAATGATGTGTCATTTGCCCATATGAGGAACTTTGAAATATTCTACCGTAATGGATACTCGTGAAAAACACAATACACCAGACAACTTGAAAGTGCATTCCAATTTGATTGATAATATATGATTATGATTGACAATTTGGATTTTTTTAGTTGGGTAAATTAAATAATGATTCCATAAGAATTCTAAATGAGCTGTTGTATATTATATTCACGTATCCATGAGCTCAGTTGTGAGTATTAAAAATAGCGACGTAATTGTGTTAACCGCGTGAGGTCGATTTATTACACATAACTTCCTCATTCAGTATCATAATTTCAACACATTTCGCGTGACACCATCAAGCTGCATATAGGACTAGACGTATAGAATAATGTAAAAACCAATTTAGCAAAAAAATATTTTAACTTCTTATCTTATTGTTTTAATGATCATATTCGGGCTCAGCGTCACAAAACATCACGGTACAGAAGGGGCTTTCTTGGACCTGAAATTAACTCTTAAGGTGATCGCATCTATAAAATTTTTGCATCTAAATATT